AAAAAAAGAACGGAAGGAGTTCGCAGTGGTCAGTAGTAATCCTCTGCGGGAAGATGCCTTGGAAATAAAAAGGTCCGAATATTTTAGTTAGAAAAGTTCATAGTGCATGTGGTAGGTAACATACGCATTGTGCACTGATCCCAGTTCGTGCCTCACAGCAACGATACGCTCTAAGCTGACCAGTTTCCTGAACATGTGGGTAAGCACAGCGCGTGTGTGCAACCAGTAGCAATCGTACTGAGCAACATTCCGATGCATATCGCGGAACCAAAACAACAAAACTTCACGAACTGCTTTACAAATAAGTGTTTCGCAGCCCTGAAAATAAATCAGCTGATTTGCACCTACTTCATTAATTCTTGTACAGAAATTTCTGACTAGAGGACACCGCCTTCAAATCTCGAATTCAGATCTCGATTCCCGGCACTCCGACTATGGCTCCAAATGGACCAAACTTTTGCAGTTCTGTTCCAGACATGTAATAAAGTAAACACTTAAAGTACAGCGCAGCACAATGACTCCGATGTTTTAGCTCAGAGAATTCCTATATGCCCAAGTGCCCCAAAGTCACAAAGGCACTGTTGATGAGTAAATTCCATGCACAAAGAAAAGTGAAATTTGTAGAAAGCCAAATCTAAAACTATTTCTCAAATTCAGAAAGACGTTGGCGTATCACTGAATACAATCAAAATTGAAGTGGTGAAAAAAAGTGAAAGAGTGCCGGAACTACAGCGTGAGAACATGCCGCTAATGCCAGTGTGTCAATAGTACGTGTGTATGTAGATATGTGTGTGTGTGTGTGTGTGTGTGTGTGTGTGTGTGTGTGTGAACACATAATGATTACGGTACAGTAAAGCTACGAAAAATGAGAGATAATGGAATAAAAATGCCTTAAGATTTGTGCACACTTATAATGCCAGCATTAACTCGCACAAATTATCTCGAAGGGTCCACTGAGCTTCAAGATGCGCTAGAGAAGACTGTTACATCGAAGTCACTAAGGGAGCTCTTGATACTCGTCGTTTTGGAAGTACGGGCAGCAAGTTAATGCTTTTCGTTCCGTTTTGTCAAACAGTGAGACACATGGAGGTAGCTCCAGCTTGAAAACAGTGAGCACATAACGAGGAAAATGTACATTAGCCAAGCTGGAAAGGGACGAAAGACTGCGTAAGTTCTACGCCAGTTTCCAATGCACGGCATGCCACTTACGCCAGCACCAGTGAATCGAATCAACGAACCCTGCAGAGATGATTTCCCAGCATATGCACCTGAGACAACGACTTATGTGAAGGGCAATATGCGCGTTTCCTGCAAATCGAATCGGCCAGCATTCAGAAGGCACAGCACATACTGCAGTCGAAAAGTAAGCTGATGAAAAAAAACGCACATTGTTGGTTTCCACGGCACAGTACTGCTGCAATCGCACCAAGGTGATCGCGTAAATTTCAACGAGATTGAAAACGGCACGAGGACGTTGCAGTGGTGATTTGCTGCACAGAACGGCGATCAGCTCCTCAAAATCCCCGCTAAGTTCCAGATACAGCTCGCACGCCGATACCATGCTTTTACCAAACGAACTGAAATTCGCTGGAAATGAATGTGCCCTCAATACAAATTATCCATTGTTACGAACTGAAATTATGAAAATTCGCTGGAAATGAATGTGCCTCAACACAAATTATCCACTGTTTCAAGCCAGGAAATGACAGCTTTCAAACTCGCCGTGTGAGGGAAGAAGCGGGAGGAAAGCTAGCACAAAACAGCACCGCGGAAAGTGCACCACTACAAAGTGGAAGAGTGCACTGGACAAACTTGGCGAAATTTCGCACCACTGCCAACAATTTGGTGTGTTTTGCCAAGCTGAGAAGGCAAAATTTCGGGCAAGAAAATGAACAGCGACAAAAACTGATACAAATGCATGCTGGCTTATTTCTTTGGATTTATACCAAGCGCTAAAAAACCGATAAAATTCCTACTTCCCACTGCTGCCACAGGCAAAAAAGAGCGCAACAACGGGGCCGAGAGCTATCCGCTCCCTGGATGCCCTTTGAAAAATAACTATTAACAGATTTCTGCATTAGCTTTTCAGCAACAGAAACGAACTGCAGCGAAATGCGCAGTCTGTTCAGTTTTCGCTCCCACTCGGCCACTCTTGCCCGAGCACTCGCACTGCTTCTCAGACTTGCACGCTTCGCCGCCCAACGGCCGCGCCTTTTACGACACTTCACTCGTACACTGAAAATGCTCACAGTGCTTCAGAAGCGATCTCGGAAAGAACTTCAGTTCTCGGGTGTCTTCGGGTTTATAAATAATAAACAGCAACGTGCACCAGAATAGCCGGTGCGGTCATGCATTTTGCGCAATTCAGCCCATCGAACGACTGCCTATTAATGATTTTCACGTCTTTGTACTTTAGTCTATGCAAAAATAGTTCAAACATTGGAAAATAGTTAAAAATTTCATGCACCAGCTTATGAAAGCTGAATTCGTAATCTTGAAGAGTGAATGC